CTCTAGACAGAATTCTAGGTGTTAGCTTCTAGGCTCCTCTTGCCCCTCCATCCCTGACTCTCTCCCCAGACTAAGTGAGAGTGTTAACAAAGGTCTGCTCTGAGCCGGGATTTCTTCCCTCTTAGCTTGGGCTAACGCTGAGTGGATGGAGGAGGGAAACCCTAACTTCCCTACTTTGACCCTGGGTAAGTGTCAGCTTTGCTTTCTGGAAACTGACGACAACTGAAAACACTGGAGGAGCAGGAGGTCTTATTCTATTATAAGAGGTCCAGAACGAGACTTCTGAGGTACAGTGGGGCAAGTATCCATTGTCTGAGAGACACTTCTCTTAGCCTCCACCCATCACAGCTTTTCCTTCTGATTGTTATGCCAGTACCAGAGGCAACTATCTCCTACCCTCTAAAGTTCAAGCCTAAGCTTGAATGAAGCCTAGTGAGGCTTCAGGGACTGTACCAGCTTCCCCACCCCTTCCTTAGCCCCACTTCCTCAATGCCCTCACTTCCTTCCCTGCCTCACAATCAGTTCTCAGTCTTTGCTTTTCCTATGGTAACATTCTTCTCCCACAGCACAGACACGATCTTACAGCTAGCCACTCACCTTGTCCTGGTCTGTCTTCGATTCAGGCAGAGGATTGCAGTCTGCAGTTATAGCCTTGCAATGTCTCCAAAATAGAGCCTTGCCTGCATACACATGTCTGCTTTTCACAGCAAACAAGGCACCCTTAGTGAGGCTGGAAAGGACACCTTCTCTGCACAGGTGACAGGCTGATAGGTCTTCAAATGCTCTCCATCCAGCCTTCCCTTGGTGAACACAAGCCCTCTCCCCCAGCAACCCTAAGGTGCCCTTTTGTCTGGGCCTTTGAGAGTCAGTCATGGTCATGGACAGTTGCAAGTTACAAATGAAAAGGATCTCCCCCATTAACTAGTTCAATTTCACCAAAGCTCCAGAGCACAACTGACTTGATCTTGAGCTCCTGAAGAGCAGACACTATATGGCCAATAGCTGTAATCCCAGCATCCAGTACAAGAGCTGCAAAAAGTTGATGCTCAATAAAAGTTTAAAGTGGCTTGTTTCACTAGCCCATTCACTCTTCTGTTAGGGCAGTCATTTCTCTAGATCCAGGTGAGGAAGAGGGTGTAGCTCAGACATCAGTGACATCTTTTTTTCTTTTATTTGCTCATTTATTTCAGGAATTTTCTGGTCCTCACTCTTCATTGTTCCAACCATGGTCTGGACCCTGACATTGGCATGAGGATCCAAAGCGTACAGACCCAGCAATGAAATCATTTGGAACTGGGTTTCAATTGGAGCATTTCCTGGTTACTCTCCACGTGGACAGGCTATGCCTTGCTTATCCAGTAAACACCTAAGTATCAGGAAAAGGATAAGGTGCTGTGAGTACAAAGAAAAACCCAAAACACTGCCTTAAAATAGCAGTTTGTGTGTGCACACGACCGTATCTGTGTCTTTGGCTGAGAGAGGGGTACCAGTCTTTTAAAAATTAAAAAAAAAATCAATGACAATTTGTAATCAGAGATTCCACTTCTACTCTACCAGCTCCCAATATCTGTTTCTAACTTTTTTTAGAAGTATTTATTTTGCTTCCAGTTAGTTAACATACATTGTTATTATTAGTTTCCGGGGTACAACATAATGATTCAACTCTTCCATACATCAAGACAAGCGCACTCTTTAATCTCCATCTCTGCCTCTAACTTTAAAGTGCATTATGGCAATAAGTGATGAGAAGTCACCTGCATACGTATTAAAGGATAAGAGTTCGCCAGGAAAATTCAGGAGGGTTTTTTTCATGAGAACCCTGTGTCTGCAGCCTGGAGCCAGGAGAGGTCGCTCATCGTACAGAAAACTGCATATGTGTGTCCAGCCCTGCTAAATTGGGTCACAGAACTACTCGTGACTGACCTCATATGCCGCCGACTTTAACACAGAAAACTGGCAAATGAATAGTATTAGGTCCGGTGCTATTACCCAAAAGGAACAAGGCTCGCTGTGAAAAGCCTCTAGTCAGCCGGAAAGGAAGGGTGAGACCGCGAGGTTCCTTAGGACCAGAGTCAGCAGGGCCTGGGGGTCGTCGTTCGCGATTCTCAACCCTTCCACCTGTCCTGGGACTAACTCCTGGGCCCCTTCACAGTTTAAGAGACTCTGAGTGGAAGGAGCCAGAAAAACCCACGTAGCAGAAAAAAAAACACTGGCGCTCCGAGAGCCAACCTCCGATTGGCTAGGATTGTCTCGATCCCTGCCTGTGATTGGTTTCTCCCACTGCGATCCCGGGCCCTGCCCGCCGCTCATTGGCTCCGGTCCTGCGGGCGGAGCCTAGGAGCCGTGGTGGCGAGGCAGAGGAGCTGGCAGCTTTGGGGCCTTCATCTCCGGCCGGCGGTAAGTGTTACGCTGGCTGGACCAGCGGCTCGTGTCGCTGGGGGCACGCAGCCGCGGGAACCTGGCGTCTGTCTACTCTTTCAGTTTCTGCCGCGGGGCGCTAGTCCCGGCTGAGGAGGGAGGTGGGTGACAGCTCTTCCCGTTCTGAAGTCAGCGGTCCTGCAGGCTCACCTTTTTCTGTCCCCACCCGTCCTCATTCCGCGGGCCCTGCCCCGCGTCGTGCAGCCAGGAGGTTACCATCCCCCTCTGCTCCCGAAACCCCGGGGTCACCGCCTCCCTCGCCCTGTCTCAGCTCTGATCCCTCCTCTCGAGGTTTTTCCACGCTCAGCTCTCCGCCCTCAAATGCCTTTCCCAGATTGCCACCCCACCCCCACCCCGGCAAAGGCAAGGTCGAAGCAATTAAACGTTTAATAATTCAACTTTTGTGAAAGAAACTTATGTATAATAAAAAATAAACCAATAAAGCAAGTCTTATGTGGAAGAGCAATAGCTCCCTGCCGCTGTCCTTCTTACAGAGGCCACCACTTTAAACTTTTTCATATTTAGATCTTTATGACTCTGAAGTCTTAAGATATGCTTTGCTGTTTTTTCTTGATTTATTATTTGGATATTTCTTTGCCTTACCTCTCTACTGCCACCATGTTCTCAGTTTTCGATTTCTATTTGCATTCTTCTGTTGATCTTTGTTGCTTTGAATCATAGATAATAACTACTTTTGTGCCAACTTTAGGTGGTAGCTCTCGGTGCCCCTCTGTATTAGATGAGGATATTCCACTTCCAAGCTACTATATATACACTAATTCTTTCATATTGAAAAAATGTTTGAAGCAACTCTTCTTGATGGATATAGTAGTGAACAAAATAAGAGAATATCCTTATCCTCATGAAACTTTTAGTGTGAGAAGTAAGGTGATAAACATATGTGTGTCTGTGTATCAAATGATGTTAAGAGTAGGATCACGGAGAAGTTATTTCAAGCTGCAAAAATAGAAATAACCCTGAAGACATGGGTTCAGGAAAGCGTGGAAGTTTCTCCCTTTGCTTAACTGGGCACAGTTGCTGTTTCAGGGGTGAAGAGAGAGATTCCTATTGGACTGGTGGTGGGGAACCAGGAGAGGCTCTCAGTAGGTGAGTGATTTCACAAAACTAGGTTTTAGGATACTGAATCCCACGGTTTGGCAGTGATACTGGGAGGTAGACAATCAGGAGGCAGGGAGGTCAATGAGAAGGCCTGCAGAGAGCCCTGCAAAATCTACTAACTGCTCCAGTTTCTTCAGGAAGCCTGCTGGACTACCCTAAACCACAGTGATTTCTCTCTTTTGAAATTTTATTCTACCCTGAAGCTAGAGAGGTTAAGTAATTTGCCCAAGATAGAATGGTGGAGCCCAGGGCCAAGCATCTGTAAAAGGAGAACAGTAATATAATGGTTTCTGTTTAGGGTTGTGAAATAAACTGAGTTAATCTGTGTAAAGTACTCAGAAAAGTGCCTGGAGCATAGTGGAAGTGCTTAAGGAGTGTTTGCTGTTTTTATTACTGTATGATATGCTCTCAGTTACCTGACAAATTATAAAAGCATTTTGTGTCTAGGAGCTATTTCCTATACCTACCTGGTTTATTCATTCAACAAATATTTATTCAACAATAATGGCATGGCAGGCACTGTTTAGGCGCTGAGGATACAGCTGTGACTAAGACCAACATGGCTCTTCCCTTTACAGATTCTAGCCAGGAACACACAAACTTCGGAAGTGAACAAACAAATATTGCCTACTGAGCCAAGAGCCTGCCATTGACCATTCAAGTTCCATATTCATATCTGGCCCTGGCAAAAATCTCAGGTTTCTTGCTGGGGTAGTGCCTTCATCAGTGTGGATTTGACTGTCATCAGATGACCTGTGTTTTTATCTTGCAATGGGTGTTATTTCATCTTTGCTTCTAAACATATCACTGAAGGCTGAGGAAAGTGTTTTGTCATCTTAGTGAATATTAGTGCTGGAGAGATGGGCAGAGCTTTAGAGGGTGTGGAGAAAATATTGCTGGTTCCCTTATACTTTACACTTAAATATGCAACACAAGAAAACAAACTAAGCATATAGGCAATGGGCATCTAGTATTATTACCTTTTCTGCACCTTGAAGTATGTATACCTAGGGGTATTTCTGGACTTATTTTGGATACTGAAACATCACATTTTTGGGGACCTTTACCAAGCTCAAGAGAAACAAAGCTGGTTTGGAGAATGTGATTGAAGTAGAATGGGAATGGTCTGGTGAACAAACTCAGAGGAGGGATGACCAAATGAATGAAAACAGAAAACTCCCAATATCCACTCACTTAGTCACCCCAGCTGTCTCTACCATGGTATGAATAATATGACTCAGTCAGAACTTCAGTTGGGAAGGCCAACACTTATTAAATAGGGTCAGTAAAGGATCCAAAGGTGAAAGTTAGCTTTTTTCAATCACTATCCTTTTTGCTGATCCCTTTGTTCTTCAACAGAAGAACATTTTTATCCTGTTATTTTTTTTTTTTTCTTTCCTTCTCAGCCTTGACTACCTCTGCCTGGCTTTATTCATGTTCTGAGGAGGGAGTGAGAAGGAGCCATGGATCCTGCAGCATTGGTGGAAGCCATCGTGGAAGAAGTGGCCTGTCCCATCTGCATGACCTTTCTGAGGGAGCCTGTGAGCATCGACTGTGGTCACAGCTTCTGCCACGGCTGTCTCTCTGGACTCTGGGAGGTTCCAGGAGAATCCCAGAACTGGGGTTACACCTGTCCCCTCTGCCGGGCTCCTGTCCAGCCAAAGAACCTGCGGCCTAATTGGCAGCTGGCCAATGTTGTAGAAAAAGTTCGTCTGCTAGGGATGCATCCAGGAATGGGGCTGAAGGGTGATGTGTGTGAGCTTCACAGGGAACAGCTAAAGATGTTCTGCAAAGTGGATGGCCTGATCATGTGTGAGGCCTGCAGCCAGTCCCCTGAGCATGAGGACCACAGTGTTGTGCCTATGGAGGATGCCACCTGGGAGTATAAGGTGGGAGATGGAGGCCAGCCACCCCAGTCTCTCCCCTGCCCCACTCTTGGCTGTCTCTAGATCAAGGACTTGACCAGGAGCCCCAGAGACTAAGTGAGAGCTGATTCCCTTGACTCCTCACACCCACTGATCCTGGGGACCAGATACAGTGAGCCACACCTCTCCTTGCATTTCCTTTCCTCCTGCTTCCACACCCTATCCCCGAGCCTAGCATGGCTTAATGGCTAGCCCAAACATGCTTTCCTTACTGAGAATTTGAAGGAGACCAGTTTGGTTTGGCTGAGGTTCTGAGAGCCTTGAATGAGTTTGGGCATGAAGCTGTCAAGGCCACACCCAGCAAAATCTGCAAATTCCTCTTAGCAATGCCACAAATAATCATTTGGCAATAGTCACCTCAACTCTGTCCTTTATGTACAAAACTGAGGCTTAGAAATTTGAGATCATGATAAATGATTTTAGAGCTGGAAGGGACCATGGCTGAGTCATTTAGGATTAAGTGAGATTATCTAATATTACATTATAAGGCATGTCTGACTTTAGGTTAAATAAGTTAAAGGAAGATCAAAGGCTGGGACTTCGGTCTTCTTGCTCTTCCTCCAGTGTTCTTTCTCCTTTCCCTACTCTTTTTATTTTTTTTCGGGGGGGGGTCATCTCTGTTACACCTGCTGCTCCTTTTCTATAGCTCCCCCCATCAGTTTCCAGCTTTTTGCTCTTTTTCCAGATGCCCATGCTGACATATCTTTATCAGATTCATTATCCCAGTGATTCTGTGATCCACTGATCTCGTACTGGTCTTCTCTTTCTTGAAGTTGAGTTTAGAATGTAAGAGTGTAAAACAAATCTCCTGAATTAGGTGTTTTTCTATGAAAAAATGATTTCTAAAAAATTGGAAGCACTTCCTAGTTCATTTTATTTTGAGTTTTAAAATAGGGAGGCAGTGAAATATTGGCATAGCAGTTAGAGAGCGGAGTTAAATCCCAGCCCACCTATTTACTAGCTGAATGACCTTGGGGAGTTCAGTCACTGAGCCTCAGTTTTCTTATCTACAAAATAGGGATAATACTCAAGGGTTGTGAGCACTAAATATAGGTTTAGTGCTGAAGCCACATGTGGCACCTGGCAAATCTTTAATAAAATGGTTAATATTATGATCAGAACACTTTATGCTTTCCAGCAGTAATCTCTTGTGGTAATATTCTAGGATAGAGCTTCTTACTTTTAATATGTATGTGAACAATTCAGGTTCTGATTCAGTAGGTCAGGGGTGGGGCCAGGATTCTACATTTCTAGCAGCTCCCTGGTAATGTGAATGCTGCTAACCCACATGGACATTACTCCGAATAACAAGGTTTTAAGAGGCTATAGGATAACAAGGCAGATAAGGATAAAAATAGGCATGGATAGGAACGTCCAAGGTTGGAAATGGACCTTTTCTTCTATTTTACAGAAACTTAGAAACTGTGGGAGCTGAAATGGTCAGAGTCCTGCCTCCAATGTCGTCCGGGCAGGAATCGCTGTCCCCCACGCCAACCCCAGGCACTCCCTTTACCTCCAGCGTTCATTCTGCCTGAGGGACACGTGTTTTCCTGCCAATGCTAGGAAGCCTCATTGACAACCTGGGCTGCCTGAAGTGTCCTCATGAGGTTTTTATTTCTTTCAGTGGAAACTCCACGAGGCTTTGGAGCATCTGAAAAAAGAGCAAGATGAGGCCTGGAAGCTGGAAGTTGGTGAGAGGAAGCGAACTGCCAGCTGGAAGGCAGGTTGCCACCTGGGGAGGGGAGACTGTGTGGTCCCTGTGTTTTCCTGGAGCTGGCCTGCGGTAGCCTCCTCATCTGTATGAGGCCAGATGCAGCATTCAAGTCAGAGACCCTGGGGTCCTCCAACCAGCATTCTCTACCGAGTGTGTGGCCTCAGGCAGGCTATGTACCCTCTCAATTTCAGTTTCTTGATAGCGATAAAGGGATGACCTCTGGGTTTGTGTCCTCACATGTGAGAAAGGAAAACTACATAATTCAGGTATGCATAAGTTCACACTGGTAAGATTGATATAATGCTTGGTAATACATTGTTTCTGTTTCACTTTCCCCAGTGAGAGCATATTTACTAAAAGTTAAGTTACTAGAATATTGGATAATCATCCCTGTAATAAGTTTGAGAACCATTAACTACCAAACCGTCAGAACTTTTGATCCACAGGAGGTAACATTGAACCAACCTAAAAGAGCATATTGAATTGATGTAAAATCCATAAGGATCAACACTAACAGTGTAAAGTCACACTGCCTTAGAGACCTAAGAGTAATCCTCCTGGTCATTATTCTGAAGGTAGAATATATTAGTCTGAAAATAGAAAAGAGTCTAGAGCATAGAGTACCAAGATAATATCCTGGGTCCCACTAGGGTCAAGAAGCGTAGTAATAGGGACCCAGAAGCATGTACTGTTGCTCTGGGAACGGAGAGGTAGGAAAATCAGTATCCTTCATCTTGGCTTCTGCAGGGCCTGATAACACAGTTGGTACCAGCACATGCCAGAGTATGTGTGTATGCATGTGCCAGTTCCCTCAGTCCTGGATGGCCCTTACAAGAAGTAGCAGTACTGATTTCTGGTCCTGGCTCTATAGATCCAGGTGGAAACCCGAAAGCAGAGTATCATGTGGGAGTTTGAGAAGTATCGGCGATTATTAAAGAAAAAACAGCCACCAGGTCGGCAACTGGAGGTAGAAGCAGCCGCAGCCCTCACCAGCCTAGAGCAAGAAGAGGGGGAGACCGTGCAAAAACTGGAGCAGAATCGTAATGAGCTCATCCAGCAGAGTCGGGTGCTGTGGGGGATGATTGCAGAGCTGGAAGAGAGGTCTCAGAGGCCTGTCCGCTGGATGCTGCAGGTAAGTGGTGGGTTTTCTTGGGAACTTTGAATGAGAGCTAAAGGTGGCATGGGACTCCAGGAGAGAATTAGCTAGTCTTCACCAGAGCCTGTCAGACATTGATCCCATATACCTTCTCCCCTCTGCTAATGCCTGGCATGACCTTTTGTCACATTGCAGGTAGGGCAGCGCCCAGGCAGCTCTGGCTTCATACCAGTCCTTCCCCTCTGGCCTGAGAGTCAAGGTGGAGCCTGAAGTCAACCAGTCAGCCTTGCTCTCCACCTCCCTTTCCCTTAGAGAAACCCCCTCCCAGGGCTTGGTGTTATCTGGTCCCTCCAAGGAATAGCACATACTCTGGGAATGCAAGCTGGTGCAGCCACTCTGGAAAACAGTCTGGAGGTTTCTCAAAAAAATTAAAAATAGAACTACCCTACGACCCAGCAATATCCCACCCAGGATACAGGTGGGCTGTTTCGAAGGGACACATGCACCCCCATGTTTATAGCAGAACTATCAACAATAGCCAAAGTATGGAAAGAGCCCGAATGTCCATTGATGGATGAATGGATAAAGAAGTTGTGGTATATATATACAGTGGAGTATTACTTGGCAATCCAAAAGAATGAGATCTTGCCATTTGCAACTACGTGAATGGAACTGGAGGGTATTATGCTAAGTGAAATTAGTCAGAGAAAGACAAAAATCATATGACTTCACTCATATGAGGACTTGAAGAGACAAAACAGATGAACATAAGGGAAGGGAAACAAAAATAAAAACATGGAGGGGGACAAAACAGAAGAGACTCATAAATATGGAGAACAAATTGAGGGTTACTGGAGGGGTTGTGGGACGGGGGTGGGCTAAATGGGTAAGGGGCACTAGGGAATCGACTCCTGAAATCACTGTTGTACTATATGCTAACTAATTTGGATGTAAATTTTAAAAAATAAAATTAAAAAACAAAGGGGGAATAGCACATACTCATGTGCTGCATTTTTTTTCTCCTTCTAGGGTATTCAGGAAGTCTTAAACAGGTATGTTCACATCCTTGGAGCTCCAAGGCAGCCCTGTGAAGAATAGTGGGGCCCGACCAGAGGCAGAAGTAGGGAAGAAATGTAGACCCCATACCTACAGAAGAGTGGCTGCTGGTCCATAATCATCTTTCCTTACATTTGCTAAAGAAGCTTTGTTCATCAGCCTTCTTCCTTCTTTGTAGTCAGTCAAATTCATTTCCAGTAGTTCCAATAAGAATTTCAGGTAAAGTTATAAAATATGTAGTCTTAAGTAGGTTGCCCAAGAAGGGAAAAAAGATGTCTCCATTGGTGCTCTAGCCTGGGTATTGGCCTTCCTCCTTTGTGGCACGCTGCTGCCTCTCCCAGCACCCATTACACATCTGACCCTCCCCCAGCACAAAATGTGTTTGTTCTCTCTGTACCACAATCCATTCAGGCTCAGGCAAATAATCATCACATCTCTGCTTTGCCTGTTGTTGCTGTGGAGGGGCACCCCACTGACTGTCCCTGTTCAAGCCCATCTTTCCTGTAGTAAGGGAAGGCCCAGATGGTCCCAACGGTCTTCTGGCCTCAAGGGTCACCACTTCTCTGCCAGGAGCAAGTCTTGGAGCCTACAGCGACCAGAACCAGTCTCCCTCGAGCTAAAGACAGATTGCCGTGTGCCGGGGCTAAGAGAGATTTTGAAGACATACGCAGGTAATGAATACCAGGAAAGGTTATGATGGGCAGTGGGAGGGACCCCTCCTAGAGAAAGAAAATGGTTCAGTGCCCTCTGGATGCCCCAGCTAGCCTCAGTCCCACCCATCTTTGAGAAACCCATGGCTGTGCTCATCAAAGAGACCACACCCGTGCCTTGTGCCATGTGTCAGTGTCACCAACCAGGATCTTTTTCCCCCAGCTGATGTGCGCCTGGATCCAGACACTGCTTATTCCCGTCTCATTGTGTCTGAGGACAGAAAATGCGTGCACTATGGAGATACCAAGCAGAAACTGCCCGACAATCCTGAGAGATTCTACCGCTACAATATCGTCCTGGGCAGCCAGTGCATCTCCTCAGGCCGGCACTACTGGGAGGTGGAAGTGGGAGACAGGTCAGAATGGGGCCTGGGAGTGTGCAAGGAAAATGTAGACCGGAAGGAGGTGGTCTATTTATCCCCCCACTATGGATTCTGGGTGATAAGGCTGCGGAAGGGAAATGAGTACCGAGCAGGCACTGATGAATACCCCCTCCTGTCCTTGCTGGTCCCTCCCCGCCGGGTGGGGATCTTCCTGGATTATGAGGCCCATGATATCTCTTTCTATAATGTGACTGACAATGGCTCCCACATTTTCACTTTCCCCCACTATCCCTTCCCTGGGCGTCTCCTGCCCTACTTTAGTCCTTGCTATAGCATTGGAGCTAACAACACGGCTCCTCTGACCATCTGCTCCCTGGATGAGGAGGACTAACTGAGCCACCATCCTAGCCAGAGGCCTTAGAGTTTTGCCTGGCCCACAGGGGTCTTGGTGAACCTGGCCTCTGACACAGATGCCCTTGAACTAAGCTGAGCCTAGGATCCAGGGAGTCCTTTGCCTGGCTCAGTGGTCTGTTGCTACTTGGCCAAAGTCACTCATCTGAAAAAGTTGAGGCTCAGTCAAATGAGCAGGACACCCCCGTGAGGGAAGTATGACAGGGCTGAGGGTGAGGATCAGAGCAGTTGTGAGATAACCTGTTGGTGTTAAGATTCAGGACTTTGTCCTGTCTGTAGCTCATGCTCTTCTTCCCTGGTCTTCATTGGTGCCATAATTAAGTCAGCGAGGGTTATGAAGTAGATCCAGCCTTCAGGAAACCTTTTGTGTGGGATTTACCAAAAAGCCAAAAGATAATTGTCCGTATCCAGAGCCATATCCAGAGCTGGTTGCTGTGCTAATACCAGTAGAGGATGCTTTGCCTGAGGTTTGCTGCTACTGAGCAACCCATATTTGACCCCAGCTCTCTGACCTCCGAACTAGAGAAATGCATTGCGACACTGCCCAGGCCACGCCTCTCTGAGCACAAGCTGGGAAAATCACTGTATCTCAGACTCTAAGGAGAGGTAGGTCCTGGTCCTGCCCTTTTCTCTGACTCTCAGGATCAGAAAACCTGTGAGCCTTGTTTTTACTTTCACTTTATGGATGGAGAAACTGAAATGGCCTTAATGCAGCAAGTAACTTCTCACAAAACTGTTGAAAGGAGATTGTAAAGATTATAAAGTATCTCTCACATTCGAATGAAACGAGATTGACAAACTCACTTCCGAGGTCACATGCCTGCATATCGTTCATTACATCTGGATCTGAAACATCCCACATGTCTGAAAGATTGTAAGTGTCCTCAATGGGAAAATGGGTATAGTAACTGCATACTCTCCTACCTCACAGGATTGTTGTGACGATCTCCGATCCATCCTATACTTTTGTTCCTTTCTCAGGGACAGAGGAAGGCAAGCCACAGATTCCGCCTGTAGTAGCCTTCCTGCCTCACCTTCTTAACAGCCAGCATCTTTACAGCAGTGTGTTTGTTCCTTAGAGTGTCTCCTGACAATCTCAGCCCGTTAGACAGAAAGGTGCCCATGCCAGTGCCAGACTCTGGGCCACAGTAATATGTTGTGCATCTATTATGTGTTTGCATTTGGATTATAATGGGGACTGTGACATCAGGGTACAGAATGGAAATAATGAAAAGAAAAATGCAAAACGTACACTAGAAAGAAGGCTCAGCCACAAGCTAGTTGGGCTAAAGTTTGGATTTTTCTGTCACCAGTGGAATCTTCATGGCTCTGGTAACTACATAATATTATGCCTTTCTCTTCTCTAAATCTATGACAGAAGGAGAAAAGTAGGAGGTAAGTGTGGGAGAAAAAATAGGATGAGGCACAAAAAGCCAGCTCTGGAGCCATAAGTTATAATGAAAGGGAATGAAACTATATGTCTGGGCTGTTGACCTTAGCGTGACGTGTGTGGCAAAAATAGCTTATTATGGGGCTTAGGAATATGATGTGGGAATGCTTGTGCCTGGAAACCAACTGCAAGGCAAATGTGTAGAAACTATTGACCCTGCTTATAGCAAGGGACCATGATGTGTACATCACATGTTGTTGCCATGATGCTGTAGAAGTCAATGTCTGATATAGTTTAAGTTTGAAGAATTGACTGTTGAGTCAGGATTGGGCAGCAAAGTAGACAGCAGGTCAGGTATAGGCAGAAGTAAAGTAATTCCTGTAATAAAGAGTAGCAGAAATTGTCTTTGTACTTTCATTTTATTGGGTGCTCATGTGCGGAGGAGGTAAAACAGGCTAAAATGGAGAAATAAACTCATATTCTGCCCACCATGCTTCCAAGTCACTCCTCAAGCATTAGCAGAAGGGGAGAAGTTTCCATTCTCTGCTTGGAGAGGAATGAACTAGTGAGTCACAGACCTGGTCTTGGCAAAGGGTTGAGCAGACCTCGTTAAAGAGACCATGTCTTTGTATAGGAGGAATCCCTGGGGAATTGTTTATAGGCTTGAGAAATAGATTTTTAGAAAGTGCTTCCAGTAACATCCATGGATACTTAGCATAAGAGGATAGGAACCAAACCAGTGCTGTTCTTTTACTATGGTTTTATTAGGACAAACCCTGGAAGTCTCTTAGAAAAAGGATTATTAGGAGGTAAATTCATTCAAACCTAGAGTGAATTAAGTAATGGAATGGCTTCATTGGTAACACGCTGTTTTAGGTAGGGTTTTGTTTTTGTTTTTTTTGGTTGCTTGTCAGAAGTACAAGGTTAGATACATTGTTTATTTCATACTGTCTGATTTTTAAGACCAGGCAAGAATATTGAAGTTCTTAAGTGTATGAAACCCTTTCATCTTAGGGCTGTTGCTTACTTCCTTTCTAAGAACCCTGTGAAGACCAGAACCTTGTTTGTCTAGTTCACCATTACAGCCCAGTCTTGGCACCATGTGTGGGTGTGTGAGTGTGTCAATACTTGAGTGAGGGTACTTTCATTCATATGCCTAGAATCAAAACACAAAAATAAAAATAAGCTCTTCTTATTTCATAGGGGTATGAACAACTAGATGGTACTTAACTATAATTCTGTTAAAAAAAATAATTCAAAAATAGTTACAAAAGGGGTCCAGAGGGAAGAAGCAGGTGGCCACACTGAGTGTAGAGTGCCTGTACCACTCTCCTCCAGCTTTGTGAGATCATTCACTACAAGACAGGAATGAGCTTTGCCCACCCTTATTTTACTAGCAGAGAAACCAAGGAGTGTGATGCCTGAGGCTTGAGGCAAAAGGCTATTAATGGGGACAATACGTAGGTCCTGCATAGAGACAGGGAAAATCCTTGCACTCCCTACAGGAAATTCAGTCTCCCGTTTTTCAAACAGGAATTTTTTTTTTTTTTTAATTTACATCCAAGTTAGTTAGCATATAGTGCAACAATGATTTCAGGAGTAGATTCCTTAATGCCCCTTACCCATTTAGCCCATGCCCTTCCCACAACCCCTCCAGTAACCCTCTGTTTGTTCTCCATATTTAAGAGTCTCTTAAGTTTTGTCCCACTCCACTTTTATATTATTTTTGCTTCCCTTCCCTTATGTTCATCTGTTTTGTATCTTAAAGTCCTCATATGAGTGGGGCGCCTGGGTGGCGCAGTCGGTTAAGCGTCCGACTTCAGCCAGGTCACGATCTCGCGGTCCGTGAGTTCGAGCCCCGCGTCGGGCTCTGGGCTGATGGCTCGGAGCCTGGAGCCTGTTTCCGATTCTGTGTCTCCCTCTCTCTCTGCCCCTCCCCCGTTCATGCTCTGTCTCTCTCTGTCCCAAAAATAAATAAACGTTGAAAAAAAAATTTTTTTTAAGTCCTCATATGAGTGAAGTCATATGATATTTGTCTTTCTCTGAGTAATTTTGCTTAGAGTAATACTCTCTAGTTCCATCCACGTAGTTGCAAATTGCAGGGTTTCATTCTTTTTGATTGCCGAGTAATACT